AGTGATAAATCACTTCTGAAGTTGCACTTAGAGTCCTAGATAAATTAACTTTGACGAGTGAGTTAGTTAGAGATTTAGCTTTAATGACACATATATAATGTATAGCTTACAATTGTTTAATAAAATACACATAACTAGCCTGACAGAGGGTTAAAAAAAAAAAAAAAAAAAAAAAAAAAAAAAAAAAAAACTATTATATATTTTTTTATTTATAAATTTTTTATTCAAAAGCTTGTAATAGTCAAACTTATGTTATTGAATAGCTGAATTATTGCTAAATTTAATTAAATCTAATAATAAAAATATTGTCAAATTCTTTTTAATTATTATTATTTGATATATTATTATTTTATAATAAAATAATAATTAAAACTTCAGTAATTAAAAATTTAGTAATAAAAAAATTTAATAATCAAAAATTCATAAATTAAATGTTTAATAATAAATTATCAAAAAATTTATTAACAATTTATCTAATAATTCATTAACTATTCAGTAAAAATTTATTAAAAGTTTTTTATTAAATTATTTATTAACAATTTAATAAAAATCCAGTATTAATTTATTAATAATTTATTACTAATTTAGCAACTATTCATCAAAACTATTTATTAAAAATTTGTAACTATTTATTAAAACTATTCATTAACTATTTATTGACAAATATAAGGAATTTATTAAATTAATTTAGACTAAACAATACTAAATCTAAACTAGGTACTCTAAGTCAGATTTAGAAGACAATATTATATTCTATCAATAGTTTGTTTAAGATTTTTAACTACTGAAATTATTATCAACAGTTTATAATTATCAATTATTCTAAAAAATAATGAATTGTTAAAGTATAGTATTGAGAAAAGAAAAAAAAAAAAATACAATTCAAAGTCCTTTAGAAGGTTTTTGCTTTATTATACAGTTTTTTATCAAAAGGAGTTTATCTGATTGAAATATTCTCTAAGTTTCATAATACTTAAAGAACTTAACTATTCCTGAAAATGACTTCAAGAAAAATGTTTGAGGAATTTATTTTTTTACTGATATATAGATTTATTTAATACTATTAAAGTTAACATTATATTATAAAAGAGTTTTTACTTGACAAGATAAAGAAATATTTTCAAAAACTTTGCCTAATTAAGATAGAAGCTTGAAAATCTTAGTTTTTATCTAAGAAAGCCTTTTATTATTTGAAAAACTTTATAAAAGATGAAAGTTAAATCTTCTTTCCTATCTATTACTTATTCTTTAGTATTATAATTATTTTCTGAAGGTCGAGTATATATGATTGGAGAAAATATTTTTTTAAACCTTTCTTTTTTACATTGTTAATAATATATCAAGACATATAAGTGTAACTAATAAAAACTTGTTTATATTTCAAAAACTGATATATTTTATGTCAGTCAATTACCTTTGATGAGAATTTATACTATCCAAAATTTAGGATTAGATTGAAGTAGATAAAATTTTTTAAAAAATCTTGAAAGTAAAAGTTCTAAATGAATCAAGACAATTAAAAAGGGAGAAAATAACTTTTTTATTATAGAAAATCTCTAAAAACTTTTCGTTTCAAAAATTAAAAAGATCTTCAGGTACTTTATAATTAGTTTTCTTTACTTTGAAACCTTTTTTGCCATTGGAATCAAAGGTATTACTTGATTTTTCTTGATTATTGGATGTTAAGTTTTAAATAAAGAGGTTTGTAGACAATAAAAGAAGGGTATAAGTATCTCTTGAAGTTATACTTCAAGTTGTTTTAAAAAAAGTATTAAGATTTTATTGATAAGAGAGTATAAAAACTTTTTGTAAACATTTTTTTTGCATGTGATTAAAGAATCATTTATAATAATATAAATTACTTATTATGTATTATAATATAATATATTATAATTTGAATTATTTATAATTTATAAATATAATTTTAATTCAAAAAAATTTATGTATAAGTTTATCAATTTTTTTTATTTTATTGTAAATAAATAGTTGCTGAATTTTTAATAAATAGTTGTAATAAATAGTTGTCAATTTTTTAATTAATAGTTGATGAATTTTTAATGAATAGTTTTAATAAATAGTTGTTGATTTTTTAATGAATAATTTTGATGAATAGTTGTTGATTTTTTAATGAATAATTTTGATGAATAGTTGTTGAATTATTAATAAAACTATTAACAAATTTTTGACAAATTATTGATAAATTAATGTTGAATTTTTATTGAATTGTCAATAAATAATTTTGTGATGAACTTTTAATGAATTTTTGCTAAATAGTTAATGAATTATTTGACAAATTGTTAATAAATTTTTTGGTGAATTGTTAATATGTCAATTTTTGTAATATTTATAACCAAATTATATAGTTGCAGATTTATTTATGTCATTTTTTTTTTGCTGAATGTTGCATGAGTGATAGTATGCCAAATAAATTTTTTCGATTAATGATGTTTAAGAATTACTATCATATATATATATTTTTTATTTATAAATTTTTTTATCCAAAAACTTGACTTCTTTTTTAATACTGTATAATAGATTAGTTTGTATTTATGTTTTTTTTAATATGATAGATTAATTTGTATTTATGTTTTTTTAAAAAAAAGTTAAACATTGAATAAAATAATATTTTATTTTATGACCTACTATTTTCAAATGTAAATATAGAAGTATCTTGTAATAGTTTCTTTGGTTGTTGTTTAAGTGATATGATTTTTCAAGATTATTTTTTGGCTGGCTTCTCTTTTTCCAAAAAACTTACCAAATAAGAAATTTTTTATGAAAAAATGAGATTGGTTTTTTTATTACTCACATAAAACTTGGGTTGAATGGTAGTTTAATAAAATCCATAGAATTCGGATTAGAGAAATTTATAAAAATTTATTTTTTAAAAAAAATAATCGATTGTTATAAGGTTAAGTCGTTGGACATTTATAAAAAATTTTTAAAATATCCGGTTGACAATTGTCAAGGTGAACATTCGATATACTGTAACGGAAACTAGTGAAAATCCTGATAGAATAAAAAACAAGATGCAATACTGTAAATTTTGTTTGCAATATACAGTAATACAATTATGACGAACTCCATTGTCTATGATAAATTTTAAAAAGTAGTAATATTACCCAAACCAAGAAAAAGCGAATGGAGAATCTATGCTTAAACATAGGATGAACGAAATTTGCATTTGCAGTAATGCAAGGTAGGACTTGTCAAACAATAGAGAGTACGGAATTCAAAAAAAAAAAAAAACAATTACGACTCCAAATAGATATCCTAATATGGGAAGTCATATCCCTTCAAATCTCATATTTGTTCTTAAGATTATTGAGTATGTAGGACCAAATTCCGCCTAATAAGTTACCTCCATGCACTTTATGCATTAACTTCACGCAATAAGTAAAAGTCGAAAGCATGTGGACTTTAAAGTCACCGAATTAAACACAATTGATAAATCGACATCTTTTCTCAATGGAACAATGTTAAATCGGGCTCGCAGCAATAACCTTCTTAACTTTGCTTCGTTTGATTAAATCATATCGCACGTTCTGGCACCAGGGATCTTTTGATAAACGCTTACGCCAAAATACATTCACACTCTTGTTTTTTGGTCGACTCGGTCGACAAGTCAACCGAGTTAACCGAGTCGACATATTATTGGTTCAACTTAATTTATGCATTAATTGGATGATATGACTATTGTTGAGGAATGTTCGTATCCTGTTGACTTTTAAAGATCACCACTTCAGGGATTAAAACGAGTTTTTGTTGATTTTATATAAGTAAGTTTAACCGGTAAAAAGACGAATGCCCAGATAATTTTCTCGCAAATACTAATCCGACGGCGCTAGCAATGATATATAATGTGCAAGTGGCTTGTGACCAATCAAAACCGCAACCCCCTGTTAATTTATTCCAACTTTGGAAGGACTCCTATGTATATTAATCACGTGATAATGGTGTATTATTGCTCGCATTAAACCCTTTTTGTGAATGGTGCGGATTTTGTTTGAACTCTCAAATAGAAATTCTTATGGCACCCAGCCTTTTATTAGCGTTACGCGTCATTGTATTCAGATCACACTGATCAAAAAAGCTTATAGTATCATCATATACAGTATAATACGTATTATATTGTAAGAAACTTATTTATGATATGCAAATATTTGTGTGTACGTATGTGAAGTTTAAATTCCTTTTTTTTTCTTCCTACCTCTATTGCACTGCTTCCTGCTGTTATCCGGATTCCCTTGTTCTTTTATACCGAATTTTCAAGAGGTAAACACCTTAAATCTAGAACACCGACCTTATTACTGAAGCCCGTACATTTTTACATTACTAATTCCCCACACCCGAAAACCAACATCGCTCTATATATATTTCTATTTCTCCTAAATACCCGTTCTACACACTTGGGTACTTAGAAATGGGTAATGTATCGATTATTTAAATGTTATTCCTATTTGTTCTATGTGAAACATAAGAATAATGTTTGCTGAAGAGGTTAAGTATTGAGGGTCCTTTGCATGGTTAACCAGCTTTGGTACGGACTCGGTGACTCACTCTTACTCGGTTGGTTGGCGAGTTAAGATAAATGATGGTGAAAAAAAAAAATAATGACAATAATAAAAATAAATTTAAATACGATTAGGGTGGGTGGTGTACGCTAAAATGAAATGTGAAAAAAATATTTTCACACGATTTTACAATATCGCGATGTGACTTGTTATTAATCATTCATTTTTTCTTTATATTTGATCGACAACGAATATAGTGGACTCAACTAATGTTTCGGCATTAAAACAGCAAGTGCACATTCTCCGTTACGACCTAGCAGAGAAGAAAGCATTACTAGCCACCGTTCAGAAAAAACTCAACAGACATCGACCACAATACCAGTCATCAGCAAACGGTGGTCTAGTTGGCACTGCTATAATGGCTCAAGAATCCACTACGGGCAGGGTGATTGGTAGTTTACAACATGAGATCGAAATTTTGAAAAAAGAGGTGGCTGATGCAAAGACTAAATTTCACATTTCCAAGGTGGCCAGAGATCGTGCAGATCGTCAAGTGCAGGATCATGCTGCCTCTCATCAGACCCTGCAATTGGAGATCGAGTCGTTGAAAGGGATGTTAGAACGCAAGGAACGACATTTACGAGAATTAGAGGAGTCCACTAAAGATCGAGAACGGAAGAAACATGAAATGAGAATGGAGCGAGATCAATCCAGCACGAAATTAAAACAGTCCGAAATACGAGCTGTAGAATTAGAGCAAAAATTGGTTGAAGCGCTGGCATGTAAAGAACAAGCTGAGATGCAATACAACCTGCTGAACAATGAGATGAAAACATTCAAACAACGATACGTGGATGATGTGGAGTTGATAAAGCGAGAGTATAAAGAGCTGCGAGGAGAAATGAACTCGTCCGCCAAGGAGTTGAAGGAAGTGGTGTTGAATTCAGGATCGAGAATAGAGGAGTTGACAGGCAAGCGGCAAAATGATATTAAAGGATTGAAGACGGTGCATCAACAATTGAAAGAGAATCATGAAAAAATGATTAATGAATTGATAAAGGAAATGAAAGAATTAAAAGTGGAGGTCGAAAATTCGAATAAAAAAACGGATGAACATGCAGAAAAGGTGGCATATATAAACAATGAATTGACGGTCAAGCTAAAATGGCTGAAGAATATCTGATTCATGGGAATAAAAGACTCGTAAAAAAAATTTTTTTTAAAAAAAAAAAGTGAGAGCGGAGGCGGAGGAAAAATTTACATACGCATCCACCACATAAGCTTATTGATGCACATTCCATTCTTTAACATCATTGCAACAATCGTTTTTCTTTCTCTGCAGAGCTTCCGTCAATTAACATAACATAGTATATATTACATAATCCGTTTCGTTATATATATATATATATATATATATTTTTTTTTTTTTTTTTTTTTTTTCTCTTGTAATTTTATTCGCATAGGTTGTATCATGTTGGTTGCACTAAGTTTTTATATCTTAACATGAAATATTCAACAACCAATAGCTAATCAACCCTCTCCACGAAACTATAACAACTTCCTTTGTTATATACATGTGCGAGCTCTACTTCTCCAGTTCTATCATATCATACTCGCGAAGACATTGTATAGCGTCGGCGATCTGACCGACAAGCATGGTTACTCACGTCCAAAATTTATATTAAACACCTATTTACATTTTTAATAAAATATATTTTCGTGCGAAGATACATGAAAAAAAAAAGTTAATGCAAATCTACAATCGGACATTCCAAATATTCTATTTGATCTATACATATCTTCGTTTTTGGTTTAACTTAATCTTGCAAATCTAACAGAATTCTGAACATCTAGAGTGATAACAACTAAAATATTGAAATTTCTATTCATTCTCAATCCCACCAGTAGCTTTCTCGAAAATTCCCAGAGGCAATTCCATTTTTAATCGCCTAAGTTTCTCGTTACGTGCTTTATCCTTCAACTGCACGGGATTGCGATTGCTCAGGGGACCATTCTCCCTCCCATATTTTTCTATTATTTGGGCCCAACTGGTTCCAAATAATTCCATTCCTTGTTCTAATGCTTTCAGTTCCGTGGACGTCCATCTTGAACGAGTCTTCTTGGTTGCGTAACGCCATGACGGATCGACACTCGAACTTCGACTGACTGGGATAATCGAAGATTCTCTATCAACTGATCTTGATCTTTCATTTGATGGTTTTGCCACGTTTCGATCCGACGTGACGAGTTGTTCCTCGTGAAGCCCGGAGGAAGCAACATCAACAGTTTCCTGGTGAGAAATAATTATGGAATTTGATGGTTGACGTCCGTCGTTGGTATTTATCAAAGGAACAGATAATTGATCCTGAGAACTAGTAACATCGTCATCAGTCGGCACAATTGATGGTTGAGGTTGAGTGAGAAGTACCCCGTTAAGTTTATTTGATGTAATAGATGATTCTGCCTGAGGACGAGCTACGGACGTATCATTGATGATGGTCGATGTAGAAGAAGTAGAATTTAATTTTTCATATTTAAAGATCATTAGAGATCTATCATCAACTCCTACATGAGATTTTTTGGCATTTCGATTCCTATCAAATGTTGAGGGCGAATCAAGAAGTGATGGTCTTTGAAAATGGAATAACTTCTCGAGCCTAATGTTACGTTTGCAAACAGAAGGCGGCGTTTGAGAAGGAGAAAAAGATATAAACTTGGGACTATCATTAAGATCATGATCAAAGTTTTCAGATGTCGGTGTGGTTGACTCAATCTTAATCTGAACATCCTGCTCTTCCTTGGCATTCGTAATTTCTTCGGTCATGATTCCATCATTTTGTTGCTCATCTAGGATTTGTTCGGTCGACTGTTTGTCTGGATCGATCTTCTCGAGTAAAAGGCATTCCTCAACCAATTCCTGTTCTTCATCAACATCTGCATTTCTTCCACTCGCGATTTTGTCATTTTCTTGATAATAATCTAACGTTGAGGCAGTTTGTTGAACATTGGAATTGATCTTCTCGGATATAAGACACTTTTCCGTCAAATCCGACTTTTTCCTAGCACTCGACCCTCTACCATCCGTGATCTCGTCATTTTGTCGATCGTGATCTAATGCCAGTGTGGCTGGTTGGCTACTCCGATTGGGACAAAGACATGTTTCTTCCACCTCCTTAGCATCAATAGATTTTTCGTTCGCGATTTCGTCGTTTTGTCGACCATCGTTCAATGCTGACGCGTCTATTTCGGTATCCGTATCACAAAAATCTGAAACTTCCTCGTTCGTGATCTCGTCACTTTGCTGATTACTTTCTAATAGTAAGGCGGCCAATCGAGCGTCTGAACTGGGTGAATGGCATTCTTCCTGTTCGTCTTTGGCGTTATTAACTTCTTCGTTCGTAATCTTGTCATTCTGTTGATCACCGTCTAATGCTGACGCGGTCATCTGAGCATTCGTGTGGTTTTTCTTTGACCAGAGACACTTTTTCATCAACTCCTGCTCTCCTATAAGGGATTCATCAGACACGTGAACATAGTCCCTAAAAATCGCATCCACCGAGTCATTCGAAGAATTCCAATCATCACATGCGATTGGTAAAGGGGACGTATTCAGAAACGCATTCTCTTGATCCGCGATTGATGATGACGACGCTGAATAAGGAGTCGATAAAGAATTAATGTTCAACTTTGTCTCGATCGCGTAAGCAATCTGCTCTTCGCTTAAATTCATATATTTAAAATAAAATGGTCGAAGAATGGTATCTCGCTGTGCAAACCCCGGTGGCAAACTCCATGGTAATTCGTCAAGCTGCATCGTCACCGCGGCCATGGATTCGACTTGAGAAGTTTGGTCATTGTCCTTCAGATTGAACAAATTATCTTGCTCAAATTCGAGTTTTTCGTCAAAATAATCTCCCATGATAGTTGATTGCGTTTCTTGCTTAACCAATACCTTGTCAGAATCCTGATCACCTTGTGGCAACTGAACGACTATATCACCCAATTCGTTGTTCTCAACTAGTGACACGCAATCTTCATATTGCCTATCATTTCCAACAAATTGGATGTCACCGTGTTCGATTTCTTCATCCATGAATGGTTGAACAGTCGAGTAAATGAGGCTATTTGAAAACAGATTTGGGTTTGACCCCAAAATTTCTGACATTAATTATTCACAATAGAAGGAGCGAAAACGAATAATAATAATAATAATAATAATAATAATGTAAAAATTCTTATTTATTTTTTTTAAGAGTTCAAAGTGATATTGTAAGTGAATTTCCGATGGTTGTTTACTTTTTATCGCGTAATGATCTACATAAAAATGACGTAAAATGATGTTTAACATCTACGTGTAAGTCACGTGAATGACGCGTTAGAACATTTTCTTTATCGTAATTTGCACGAGTTCTTAATACAACTTTTAAATTTCAACTTTAACTTTAAATTTACACGATGTCTAAATACAGCTTTAAACCTTAACCTTAAATTTTAATTATATTGTATGATGGTATAACAATATTGATTTGGAAAAAGAATTTTTTCTTTTCTTTTCTCTTCAATTGTATAGAAATAGAAAAAGCGAAAAATTAAATTTCTCAATAATCCATAATAAAATGAAAATGATGAAATGGCTTTTTTAACATTCTCGAGTTTAAAATAATTCCTGATTCTTGTTTTTTAAGGTATTATATGTACAGTAGAAATTATAACAGATCGGATTGATCGGATTTTAAGTAAAACTAAATTGAATTCGATCAAATTGATTTTTATTAGTTAGTAATATAAATCATAAATACAGTATATTGTTAAAATAATAATTTTTTAATAAATAATAATTTAATTTATGATTTATTGGTTTATAACATAATAACAATATAATAAAAATGCTCCTGGGTTATATAATATATATGATCTAAAGTTCAAATCCAGCAGGAAGTGTATTCAAGATAATATGAAGATATAGATATTGACTGTTATATTTTTCTTAAATAAGTAGTTTTTTTAATAATCTTTTAAATAATATAATATAATATAATATAATAAAATTAGTTATTGAAATTATTTTCTTTCTATAGATTATATTTCTCTTTTAAGAACATTGTAATACAAAACTTTTATAAATAATTTGACAATAATTAATTTTTAAAATTTAAAATCTCCTATTCATAAAAAAAAATGAAAAAATATAATATATAAATTAATAATAATTAAATAAATTTATAATTTCAATAGATTTTATATATATTGAATTTCTTTATTTATTATAGAAATTTAAATAAGATAAATTAATATTAAGATAATAATAATAATAATTTGGTTTAATTATAATTCTTAAAATAAAAAATTTACTTTATATATTATTATTATTATTATTTTAAATCACAACTGGTATTAAATGTGCTAACTTTTATTAACAAATAATTAATGACAAATACATCAATAATTTCATACAAACTATATATTTCTATATATATACAGATTAATGATAATCTATCACAGCTGATTTACATTAGTCAAAATTTTGTCATTCGGCTACCGAATTATTGCCGAATTATTGCCAAATTTGGAAAAAATTAATAATAAAAAGATTGCTGAATTATTTACGATTGCTGCCATTCGGCACTAAAAATATCAGCAAAAATTGGTAAAAAATATTGGCATACTACAAAAAAAATTTAACATAAAATTTGACAATAAAAAATTTTTGCATATTGTGGCAAAAAAATTGATACTGCGGCAAAAAATTTGACAAAAAAATTGATACTGTGATAAAAAATTCACAAAAAAATTGATACTGTGGTAAAAAAATTTGACTACTGTGGCAAAAAATTCGCAAAAAATTGATATTGCAGCAAAAAATTCAACAAAAAAAATTACTGTAACAAAAATTCAGCAAAAAAATTCAAATTTCACGAAATTTATTGAAAAATTACAAAATCAATTGACTAAATTATTCGTCATTTTCCTCTTTCTCCTCTTTCTCCTTTTTTACTTGCTTTTCTTTTCCCTTTAAAGATCTCGACTTAACTCTTTTAAAACTAACCCCAATTGATTTTACCTTGCTGAATGTTTTCCGAGATTTTTCACTTTTTTTTTCTAACCTAACTGTTCTTCGAATTTCACCCATTTATGTACTTTCCCCAGTTTGTTCCTCACCCTTTGAATATATTAATGATTTCTCATATTTGATAATTTTTCATCTTTTGAATTTATCTGCTGATTTTTTACCTTTTCCTGTCTCTTTTTCTTATTCATGTTTTGAAATTTCTTCCAAACTGTATGCTCAATTTGGCAAGCCTTCTGGTGGAGTCATGTTATAGTAATATAAATCATTACCATATTGTTTACGAGTCAGTTGAAATGCTTGAATTGATTTCGAATATTTATCCAAATATTTCAACAAATCCTTTAACTATATGTAATTATAATTAATATTGTAATTATTCAATATAAAATATTTTATTGAAAAATATTTCTTCAGAATGTCAACTGTAATCTTATTTATTTATTCTTCTTTTAGTGGAGTTTCCCAGATCAGTATCACTTTCTTCAGGTAAATGCATCTTTGTTTCTTTAATTATATCAGTTAATTTATTTCAATATTTGGCAACTTTCTTTGACCTTCGTTCAACAAGCGACTATGCGCTTTTAATTCTTTGTGCTCTTTTCTTAATTATTTGTTAAAATTAATACTTGAAGATAGTATAAATGTAGAATATTATCAATCTTATTTCATTTAACTGGCTATTTGCATGTAAGTGACGATTGTCTACTTCCAGTTTTCCAGTTTCTGCCTTTCAATATCTTCCTCTCTGATGGCGATGTAAAGTGCCTAACTATTCGTTTATTTGCTTTCGTAAGGGATTAAAACATGTGGCCATGGATTTTATTAATTCAGGTATCAACTTTTGTAATATTTTTTTATTCACATCACTCAAAAAAACTTTGTTTACCCTCAGTTTATATTTGTCAGGAATGGTTTTATTAAGGCCTTTATTTCTGTTCTTGCTTCTTCTGGTTTCAGCTCATCTTTGGTAATCAGTTTTACCGGTTTTGCCTGTTTACTACTTCTCCTAGGTTGAATTCTTCGGTGCTTTCCTAAACTCGACAAACTTTCAGATTTTGATATATCAGCTGCTTTAGATTCTATAGCAACTATAGGATCAAGTTCGGGTTCCACAAATTTGAGCTGATCAATTTCCTTTTTTAAATTTTCTATTTCATTTTTTTGCTGTTTTGATTCTTCAGAAAACTTGTTATTAATATATTCTATTAGGTCTAATTGTTTTACAAATTTAGTATTTTCTCTTTCTAGTGTTTCAACCCACACACGCAATTCTTCATTTTCTAAATAAATCGGTTGGTTAATAAAGATAAATTTTAATAATTTGTCAATAATTTAATTCTAATTTTTTTCAATATCCTCCCTGATTTGAGTTTTAGGTAACAATTCAACTTCCGGCATTGATATTCGCGCAACTTCAGATGCCAATATTTCAGGCAATACAATAGATGGCCTTCTTCTAAGCAATTCGACAACCATATTAGGGATTGAAGATTCAGCATCAGATATTACTGAACATACTATTGCCGCTTCTGATACAGTTGATACGAAGGAAGTTTGCGATAGCAGGAAAGGTTGCAAAGGTTGCGAAGGTGAGGCAGCTGTTCTCTGTAAAAAGTGCATCCAGTTGATTATTTTTTTTAGATATTTTAGGTATCAAAAAAATATTAAATTAAAGGGATATTTAAATAAAATTATTTGTATTGTTTTAATACAATTTGGGATTGTATACAATATTA